ACACACACACACACACACACACACACACACACACACACACACACACACACACACATATATATATATATAAATAGTTTTTCTAGGCCAGGGTTGAGTTATTAAAATGGAGAGATGGAGAGGAGGATGCAGTGATAAAGACCAAGGGAAGGAAACAACTGAAGGAATTCCAAGTAATCTTAATTGATGCTTTATGACTTTCTCGTATAAGACCCAGAGGTGCCTGTCACAACACATTTCATCATGGAACTATATTCTGAGGATGTACTATCAGAGTAAGAGAGTTTGCTGCTATAAGAATTACCTCCTTTTTTTGTTATAAGCCCGAAGGACTCCAAACTGTGATTAGGCAATGAGGGAAACGAGATGAAGCAATTGTCCTCTGAGGTAAGCCAGGTAATAACCCCATGGGCTATAACTGGGTTTTGAAATTCTCAGCTTGGGGTCAGTCAGGCCAGGGTCCTAGGTTTAGTAGCTTTGCTTTGATAAATATCTTTCTCATTCTATCCAAAGGCCTTGCCAATAAATAAAAGGAAGAATATTAAAGGAAAGAGGATTTAAAGAGTGTGTGAAGAGCAGTTCAAAGTCTGGCACTGGAAAATAATTTCAAGATCAGGACCAGTGAGGCCACTGTCATACACAGAAGGCAGGCAGCACCATTACACTGGTGAGATTTCTTCTTTGATTTGGGGTCTGCTCTACTGAGCAACTACCTACTGTCCATCTCTCTGCCAGACTCCAGGCTCATCTGTCTCCGTCTAGTTGGATGTCTCGTAGCTTCACATATCTAAAGCCAAACTCCCGATCCCCTGCTCTACTTGCCCTATCCTTTAGTTGTTAAGGCCCAAAACCTTGAGTTCATCCTTGACTTCTCCCTTTCTCTTACACCCCTAGGTATTTTCTAGTCAATCAGGAAATACCATTGTCCTTTCTTCAAAATGGATGTCATTTTCAGTGCACTATAATCATTTCTCATCACCTCCTGCTTGAGTTATTGAAATAGCTTTCCCATTGATTTCCCTGCTTCCAAAAACTTGCTTTCTTAGAGCCTATTTCTAATACAGCATCCAGAGGGATTATTTAAAGACCTAAGTTACATCACATTAGTCCTTTCCTCAAAACCCTCCAATGACTCCCCAACAAGGCCGTGTGAAATGAGGCTCCCTGCACCTTTCTGGTCTAACCTCCTATTGCCCTCTCCGACTTGGTTATTCTGCTTCAGCCATATTGGCCTCCTGTATATTCACTAAACACCCAGACCTGCTCCAACCTCAGGGTCTTTGCACTGGTGGTTCTCTCTGCCTGGAATACCCTTCTCCCAAATACCCACATGGTCTGCTCCCTTAGTCCCTTACAAGTCTATCAAATGGCACCATCCTAATTAAAGAGAGCAACTCTAACCAACCTATTTAGAACTGCACTCTATTTCCCTTATCCTGATTTGCGACTTCACTGCATGCATCCCCTCTTAACAAGCTATCATCTTGTTCACCATGTGTATTGCCTGTCTTCTCCCTACTAAAATATAATCACTGTGGGGGAGAGAAATATGTCTGTTCTCTTCACTGCTGAATTACCAATGCATAGAATAGTGGCTGGCATGTGGCAGGCACTCATTAGATATTTGCCAGCTGTCGGAACACTGAACATTGTATAACTGACCAGACTGTTCTTGCATTGGTTATGAGAAAGCTTTGAGTGAAGCATGTGTCTGATCTTTAGCGAAGATGCAGATTTGCAGAGTAGGTGTCCTGCTTTATCCCTGGCTCTGTTTGATTTTGCTTTTCTTTATCCCTGGCTCTGTTTGTTTTTACTTTTCTTTCTCACTGATTTCTATTGTACTTTCTAAGATAAGGGAGAGATATATATTAATACAAATACATGCACAGTGTCAGTTTTATCATTTACATATCAACAGTATCACAACTTGTTAAATTCTGGTTATGGGCTAATGAGAGAGAACATTTCTTCAAGTGGATATTATGTCCCAGGCATACGCTAAGTGCTTTTCATGCATCACTTCGTCAAATCCTTGTGACAATCCAATGATGTAGACATGTTTGATATCTTCATTTTCAGAGAAGAGAAAAAGCAGGCTTAGAATGAATTACATAACTTGCTTACGGAGTCACATTTGTAAATGACCCCAGGCTAGTCTGATAGCCAATTGGGTCCAAGTTTTACACATTTTGCTTCTCTGCTTCACTGATGTATGTACTTGTGTCTCCCCTTCTACAACATAGTATTAGATGACCGATTTTTTGACTATTCGAGCAGTTTATATCCATTAACTCTGATTAACTGTGTGGATGGACTTACCTTCCCTGGTAAGTTACACTAAATAGGACATAACAAATACCTCCTCTTTGAAATAATTAGTCAAGGGATAAGAAATTAAATAGAGCTGCTTCAACCCACTGAATATATATTCCCCCAAAATATTTATTCACATGGAGTTTACATTTTTCTTCTCAGGAAACATAATCATTTTATAACAACAGGGTGTGTGGCTTAAGGGGTCTGCATGGAGCTGAGGTTTGCCACCATGCTGTGTGTGGCATATACAGAGGCAGGAGGGTGGCCTCATGGCTAGTGGGATTCCCCACTGGTGTTCAGGTCCCAGCCAAGTTGCTGTCCCTGTCTGAAAAATAGAAAGCTTGAACTAGATGGCCTTAATGGTGATTTTTCATCTTCAAATATCCTAACCCTCCAGCTTGGGTTAGATTCATCTCCTCTGTGCTCTTTCTTCCCGTAACCAAGCACTGAGCCCAGTCTATGGTAAATACCCCACCCTAATCCCAACCTGTAACAGAGGGACACTGTCTCTGGGTCTTTGCTTTCCCCCAGCACCTTGGGCAGAACCTCGCATGTAGAAGTTTTTCAGTATATGTTTGTGAAATGAACAAATGAATGAAAACAAGCATACATGGTCAAATGAATGAAAACAGGCATACAGTTTTCAGGAGTACATATGTACTCCTTTCTCTTAGGTGACTTGGGTTTATCGTGTGAGCCATTTTGGCAGAAGTTAGACTTCAGGTAACCCCACAATGAATTCCTATCTAGCACATCACTGTAATAGGCAAAACATATTGCAGCTACCCTCTGCTGGTTTCAGAAGCTGGAGTAATTATCAAACTGGTCCCTGGCCCTTCTGCTTAAAGGCTATGGCTCCTAACCACTCTTTGTGACTTTGCTGCGGCTACAGACATCAAGAACTCCCATGGGCCATGGTACTTCTTGGTCCATGGCCCAGGGATGATGCAAAATGTCTTACATCCATGCAGGAGATTTCCTTTATATTTGCATTGTTTCTCCTTGCTTAGAAAATGCACAGATAAGAACTTCTTATAATAAAGGGGAAAGAAACTTCAGAACATCACAGGCAAAGCCTTGGGAAGTAAAGATATAAAGCCAAAGCAGGAGTAAAATGTTCATACTTGCTGTGAGGTTAACATTCTTACTTGGAACAAAGTCAAGGTCAAATATTAATTCAGAGTCACTTGGCTTTAGCGGAAGTGATTCCTCAAGCATCCCTTTAGGTTGTAGGACATTATCAAAAGCATAATAAAGTGTCCTATGTTTACATCTGCTGAAACATGTTATTAAATTCAGTGTACTGTAGGCCCTGGGATGTGGCAAGAAGCCATCATCCCTCTTTGCAGGTGAGAAACTGCATCTCTGAGGAGCCAGTGACTTATCCAGAGTGCATCCTGCTTGGTGTTTCTGGCTGTTACCATCTTCTGGATGAGGACCACTGCAAAACCCCAGCAGTGCCTCTTGTCAAGGCTTGCTGGTGCTCATGCAGGCATGACTTAGGTTTTGCAATGATGAAGCCAAAGCACCTTGGAAGCATTTGCCCTCCTTTGCTGACTAACTTCATGCCAACTAGTCTGCTGGGGTCTACTCTACAGTTTCTAACAGTGCTTCTTGAGATTGGAAAACAAATGCACAGTAGATGTTACAGCTTGGCTATTGCCCTTTTAGACTTGTGCACTTTTTTTTAATTGTTTTTTTTTGGAGATGAAGTTTCACTCCTGTTGCCCAGGATGGAGTACAATGGCACTATCTTGGCGCACTGCAAATTCTGCCTCCCAGGTTCAAGCGATTCTCCTGCTTCAGTCTCCTGAGTAGCTGGGATTATAGGCATGTGCCACCACACCCAGCTAATTTTGTGTTTTTAGTAGAGACAGGGTTTCTCCATGTTAGTCAGGTTGGTCTTGAACTCCTGACCTCAGGTGATTGCCCACCTCAGCCTTCCAAAGTTCTGGGATTACTGGCATGAGCCACTGCACCCAGCCCTGTGCAGTTTTTTAACCTCATTTCAGTCTCTCACATGCCAAAGGAGCTCAGGCAGGGCAAACAACTATTAGCTGAGGGGTTACTAGACTTGAGGCTAGTCTAGGCTCCTCCACTTGTTAGCAAGGTCCTCACCCCTCCAGACTAGCCTTTGCATAGGAATAAGCCCTGCCTATCCTAGCCTTTGCATGGGAATGAGACCTGCCCATCTCATAGGGATGTGAAGAAATAAAATATAATGAAGGGTGCTTTACAAATTGCCAAGCATTATAAGTGTCAAATACTGAAGAACAACAAACAAAAAGAGAAAGAATCGGAAACAGAGAGAGTACTTGTGTGTGTGGTGGGGGAGCTTATTAAGTATAGGCTTCAGAATTACAACTATGTTGCAAGTTGGCTTCATGCAAAAGCTCAGAAGAAGCTGTATGCAGTCTTCTGAGGACAACATGAGAATAAACATCTAAAACCTATGCCTTTCCCTATTTTTCTTCTCTTTAGGGTAATGAAATTGACCTAGCTCTTAGAAATGGACAAGGGAAAAGAAACAGGGCAGTTCTAAGAAAAGATGAAGCAAGAAAAATACCCCTCATGTGTGAGTTCAGAACATTTTAAAGATGGGAATACGTGAAATTTTGCAATGGTTGCAAGTGGAATTTCTTGCAAAGCCCTGTAAAGGGGGGCCTGCTGCCTCCCCATGGTAGGCCTGTAGGTTCATAGTCATGAAGGCCATATAGCATGCTCCGATGCCAACTCGTGCCAACAGGGCAAAAGGAGGTAGATCACTCTCTTCATCTCAAGCTCTCACTCCCAGTCATTTGGACTCATGCCACTTCCGCTTTCATATTGCTTTAATTATGGATGGACCTCACTCTGGCTGGCTCAGAAGGTCTTGCTATTCAAAGGGGACCCACATGAAATGCAGTTTTATGGGCCAAAAGGAAAAAAAAAATGTGCCAAGTGTTGGAAAAGATCCAAACTTTGTAGCTACAAATTCCTGGAGGACTTGTCACTAACTGGGCCAACTCCTGGTTTAGATTCATTCTTGCAGCCCCTGGCCCTCTCCACTCAGCCCAGCCCTTCTTCCTCAAGGAACTGCTGGGACTCCCCTAACTAAATGGAGATCCCTTGGAATGTCTTCTGCTGACCTTTCCTAAGGAGCTCACAACACAGCGCAGCTTTGTGATAGGTGATCATTCTAGAAATAGTAGGTTAGAGTCTTTTGGGAGATAGAGGTCAATACTGGGTAACTTACAAAATCGGGCGGGACTGGAAGTCTTCCTGGTTCATCCTCTCAGACTGGCGGATTTTCAGGATCTCGGTGTAGCTCAGGTTCTGCAGTTTGCTCTTGAACTGGTCCAGGGAGCTAGGCTTGGTTGTAAGTGCTCTCATAACCTGCTCCTTCACCACCTGCATTACCTGCGAAGAAAGGAAGACCATCATTTTCCTGGGGGCTGACCTTTCCCATTCAGGAAAGTCTCCGAGTCAAGGGTTCCCTGTTTCCCTGTTCCCCTCTGCATGCACATTCAGCATGAACCTCGAGCGTGCTTTTCCAAAGGGTAAACTTCCATTGTGCCCATCTTCCATTTTCTCTTGTATTGCTGGAACACAAGGAAGGAAATGGATTGACTAACGGGGAACTGGTGGGGTGGGAAAGCTCTGGGTGGGAGGTGCACTCCACTCGCTTGACATGTTATGTGAATGCTGCTGACTCAACACTGTAAACAATGCCAACTCAAGAGTCAGGAATGAATGAAGGCCAAGCAACAGCTAGAGCCCTGCATAGTAATTATTTTTTTCCAGGAGAAAATCGCTGAGATACAATTAACTGTGGAAGTTTGGTTGGCGCTGGTTCAAATGAATATGAACAGATACTCATACCCCTCTCTCCCAGACTGCCTTCCCCATGTAGTTAGGGCCTGAGTGTTCATACTAATTATGCATTTGGAAATGTACATGTGGTGTTGCCTCTTTGAGCCAGGCACTAAAAAAAGAGGTTTATTAAATTAGAACAGACATATCCCACTGGAATCCTCAAGAAAAAGGAAGAATATGGTAATTTTATGCCTCAGGACAGGGCTAGCCCACGAGAAGGCAATTAACCACTGCCTCCATTAATGTGGGTTCATCTTCATCAGGATGCATAAAGCAGGACAAGACCAGAAAATACACAGAAGCATCCCAGAGACTTGGGATCTTGCTGGTTCTTTTTTCACCCTCCATCACAGATGATAGCAACAAGTGTTACCATTTATAGGTATCTATGTGTCAGATGCTATGGTAGGTGCTTTATCTATGTTTTCTTTCCGTATCCACTCAAACCTATGAGGTTACTATTACCATCACCTCTACTTTACATATGAAGAAATTGAGGCTTTGAAACTTTAAGAAACTTCAAAATCATACAATTGGTTGTTAAGTGGCTGAGTTGGGACTGGATATCAAGATTGTAAACACTGTACTATGCTGCCACCCATGCCACCATTCTTGGTGTCATTTGGGAACTTAAAAATAAGACAAACCACAGATGTACCCCTGCTATATGCTGAATTCTGTACTAGGCAGTTTGCTGTTTACCACCTTATTTAATTCTCCCTACAATACAGTGGAGGAGGTGCTACCACCACTATTTAAAAGAAAAGACTGAGAAAGGATTGATGACTTGGCCAAAATCACACATATGTAGTTGAATCCTAGGATCCCAAGTAACCCAGGAGGATGGATTTGGCATAGACTTGATATTGAACAAATATGCATATATTTCTTGCTTTCTGTGAACTAATGGTTTCATAAGAAAGGTGAACATGGCCAAGGGTTATTACACTAGAATTACAGAAATGACAGACATGACAGACTGATGGACTTTGTTGGCAGGTAGACAGGCTTTTCATTGAAGACATTTCATGGGGACGGACACAGACGAATAGCCTGGAACACCACTGATATCAGTCGCTTTGAACCCGGACTGCATCTGAATTGGAGCCAACTGCATAAGTATTGTTTCACGCCCCCAGCATAATTATCATACAGGCAAATTTCCAGTTGACCTTTCACCAGATCTGCTTTTTTTTTTTTTTTTTTTTTTTTAACTCAGGCAAAATGTCAAATTTGGGATGCTTGAAAAATTCTGAAATCGTGACCATCTTACATCATGCGGCATAAATGATGATTAAATTTGGTCCAGGTTGAACTATAATGCTTTGCTGTATCATATAAGGGGTCCCATAGAGGGTGCTCCTTTACCCACTTAGAGACCCTCAGAGGTGAGATCATTACTGTTTTTCAGTGATATCTGGCTTTCTAGTGGGAGGCTGAACGTGACGAGAGACAAAGATACAGTGATAAGAATACCAAAAATAAAGATATGATTTTTAAATAGAATCAGGTCAAAGCTAAGAGTTTTAGAGCAATCTCCACTCCTCTCATTTTACAGATGGAGAAGGTGATTCCCTCATGTCATGTGTTTCTTAAGGGGCTGTCACGGAGATGACAGTATTTACACCACATCTGCCTAGACACAGGGATGGGCATGGTAAGTGGGCAGGTGACCTCAACTGACCAAGGAGCATCCTTTCCCAAACTTTTCTGATGTGTCTTGAGGCAGACCTTAAGCATGCTCTCTCTCCCTCAAGTTAAGAATTGTAACATGATGTCCCTTCATATACGGGAAAGGGCAAGATACCAATGCCAGTAGAAGCAAACAGAAGAAACCAGAAATGTGTGTGTGTGAGAGTGTTAACGGTCAAGCCTTGTTCAACTGTAAAGGCGATTCAAGCCCTGCATTTGGTAGTTTGGTTACACAAGCCTTTTTTTTTTTCTTTAAGATGGTTTGGATGATGTTTTGGCTGGTTCTTGTGACTTACAACCAAAGAGTCCCAACAAATACATATGGTGAATTCCAAGAGGAGGACCAGCTGTGGGGCTGAGGTCATCCAGGGAGTGGGAGGAGTAGGAGAGGGAAGCTGGATGGAAATAGCAAAGTTAATTCAATAAGTGACTTTGAAAAATCACCTGCATTTACAGGCTCATGGGTGTACCTTGGCATGGAAATCATGATGATCCCTCATGGAATGTGGGGAACTCTTTAACTCCTACTTATAGATTATGCTTAAAATCCACTCTTAGTGCCCTATTCCTCTAGCCTAAGACTTTGATCCCTGCTAGATGCAAGAACACATAAGTAGAACAATCCTTTAAATTATCCCCAAATCACTTATACTTCAGTTTGAAGAAAGTATAGGATTTTTCCTAAGACTAGGTTGATAGGGAGAAGGAACAAGCAGGTACCTGGCCCCAGAGGAAGGGATGTAAGCAGTGGGTATAAAGCACAGGACAGAGGTTGGTAGAGTGAAAGACCAGCTTCACCTACTTCACAGTTTTGTTGGCACCAGCCTTGAGAAGTTCTATGGTCACTCTGCATGTCAAAGAAAATAACCTCAGTCAAAGGTATCATTAATTGTTTTAAGAAAACAAAATAGTTGTATGAGTCAAGCATTCCTCTGTACCTTTGCAATTTAGCTACAAGGTTTACAACTAATAGCTTTATGTCTCTGTTACTGTTCCACATGTGCAATTTAAATCAAGACATTCACAACCACCATCCTTAATTCTCTCTTCTTTAGAAAACATCACACCTTTTACCATTTGTTTGAAAAACCCACAGACGGCGTTGCGGAGGCATCGGAAAATCAATGGAATTAAACTTTTTAGTTACAGTACCGGCTTTGCCACAGACATCAAAGAAAGCATGCTCTTAGAATCTGCCTTTGCGGTTGGCGTTGCCCCATCATTCAAGTGTCAGTGGTGTGTTTCTGGAGTCTTCTTAGTCCCTGTTCTCTGTAATAATGTTACACATTACAAAAAAGTGAGAGTCCTACAAGACATTTGTACTTCAAATGGATAAATCATTTTGGCTCCTTGGAAGACCAGGTTAAAGGTGTGAGCACAGGGGGTTCTTAAATGGAATCAAGCATTCTGGCAAAGTTCACCTATGCCCCTGCTCCCATTGTTGGTCATGTAAATGCACTCCTGTATTTTGTTGTAAGATCTACTAAGCCTCCATGTGCTCCTGGTCTAATCACTTTTCTCATCCTGCCTTTAACCCACAACCTTCAGCCATCATCATTTATTCATTTCTTTAACAAATGTTTTGTGAGTACCCACTCAGTGCAAGGCACGGAGAGACACTGGTGGCCTTGTGCCAGATGAGCTCTCAGCCTGGGACAGTGGAGACACATACTTGCCTCACTCAAGGGAAGACGTGATGGCACAGGGGAGCAAGGGGTCAGGTGTTCACTCCACAAACATGTATGGAGGCCCTCCCAAAGGGCTGAGGGCACAGCACCAAGACTTCAGCTGGGGCTGGTAGAGAGGCCACATGCAGACAGGCTGAGGTGCAGGGGAGGGGCCATTCTTGGTGACGGCAGCAGCCTGAACGAAGGCTTGGAGGGAGAAGGAGAACACAGCCATGTGCTGAGGTCTTGTTTAGTTAGAGAAATGAGGGGGAAGCGTGTGCAGCTGTCTTGTTTAGTTGGAGAAATGAGGTGGAGCTGCAAGATGTGGTTGAAACGTAAGCTGGGTCAGATAGGGGATGGCTTTGATGGCTAAATGAAAAATTTGGATTTTTTTTTGTTTCTGTAACTAAGGATATGTTGCCAGAGGACTTTGGGGTCTGTGAAGAAATTTGATAATAGAAAGTTTGTTGGAACACTTACGAAATAGTCATTATTCCTGCACTAGTTGGTGTAAGGAGGGGATGTTACAGTAGTCTGCATGACTGAGACAATATTTTTGCTGAGACTTGGAGGATGAATGGGAGTTACTCAGGTGAAGAAGAGGAGAAGGGAATTCTAGGCAGAAGGACCAGCATGAGCAAAGGAAAAGAGGTAGGAAGTACATGCTTCAAGCATGAAAGAAAATATGCTTTTCGAGTCCACATTAGTAGCTTTTGGCAAACGGACAGGTACTAGCTGCAGTATGGCTTCTTAGCCTTTAGAACCCAACATGTAATTTTGAATCCAGGCTGCATGTTTCCTGGGGCTGTGACCTTCCTCAAAATACTCAATCTCTCTCAGACTCATTTTTACCACCTTTACACATTTTTACCACTCCTAGACTAGGAGTGCTAATCATTCAGAATTCAAAAAAGTTGTAAATTGGATAATGCCCGACACCCTTTATAGTACACAGTGGATATCTAGCAAACCTAAGTTCCTCTTCCTAAACCTTAGTTTGCTCATTGTAGAGTGCTAGTGATAATATGAAATTCACAGGGTTGTGAAATCTAAAGAAGATATAATAGCCAAAGTCCCTAATATACTGAATAGAATTTGAGACACCCAACAAATGTCAGTTCCCTTACTCTCCCAGAAGAAAATTAAATATGCAAGAAGCTTCTCCTATAAAAATATTTTACATAG